CACACACACCTACACATACACTAGTTCAAGGACACATGTAGATACCCCAGTACAAACTATTAAAGACACACACAGGCCAGGCGCAGTGGCTCATGCCTATAATCCCAGAAGTTTGGGAGGTCGAGGTGGGAGGATTGCTTGAGTCCGGGAGTTTGAGACCAGTCTGGGCAACATAGTGAGATCATGTTTCTACAAAAATAAAAATAAAAAAATTAGCCAGGCATGGTGGCACATGCCTGTGGTCCCAGATACTCAGGAGGCTGAGGTGGGAGAACGGCTTGAGCCTGGGAGGTTAAGGCTGCAGTGAGCGGTGATTGAACCACTGCACTTCAGTCTGGGTAACAGATCAAGACCAGGTCTCAAGAAACAAAACAAAACAACAACAACAAAAATACATACAGTTTAACACATGCCTAGATACATGCACATACACAAACACACACTCCAAAACACGCCAATTCATAGACATGCCACACACTGCTACAGACACACAGGCAAACACTTGGAAATCCCCACCCCTCTTTACACAAGTCTCTGACATGATGACCCCACAGACACAGAGCCAAAGGGACACACAACCATTTCCACAGACACACTCTCTTGTGCCAGCTTCCAGGGTCATGCTCTGAAATAGCCACATTGTGACCTACTGCCCAATACACAAACTCTCAGGAACCCACAAGAAGAAATGGACATACTAATACATCCAGTTTTGCAGACACTCCTGTGTGCTCATAAGTGTGCACACACCTGGGCACACAGGACATAGACTGTGAGCCACATGCATAGAACACACAAACAATGCAATAGTCACCACCAGATTTGGAGAAAGACCTATAGACAGCAGGTGTCACAAAGACCAGGGGACAGAAACACTCCTCTGGGGCACACCTGGGCACAGGAGCACAGATTTCCCAGTCCTTCCAAACCCAAGCACTTTCTCTCCAGGCCTAAGGTCCCCAGGTCACTCTTTGATCTGCTGGGATGGGAATCAGGGGTCGGAGTGGGGGGACACTGACTGGCTGAATCCCTTAGTAAGAACTTTGGCAGCACAAGAACTGAACTCTCTTTGCCCACAAACCCAGGGGCCTTCTGGGGATGAGGACTCCCACACTCCCTTTCTCCTCTCCTCCTGCCCCCCACTTCTGTGAACAAGCCCTCTGCACCCTTCCTTGCTTCCCCCATTGTGAGAGTCTGCCCCAAGGAGATGGGCCAGGGGGATGCCAGACAGTGGACCTCTAAAGTGCTCAGGGTCCCCCAGAGTTAGGAACTGGAGTGGGGGTGGGACAGGGAGAGGGGCTGCCCCTGCACTTAGCTAAACCAGCCTGGCAGTGAGGGCGTCCAGAGTGTGAGCCAGAGTGCCGAGTTGCATCTGATTGTGTGACCGTGTGTGTGCACATGTGTGTGTGCACACACCGTGTGTGTGCACAGCTGCGTGTACATGTGCAGGGATGCGTGCGTGTCCATGTGAGCACTCCTGGAAGTGGGCTGAAGACAGAGGAGCGGGCGTCTGTGTACCATTGTCAGTGAGTGCGTGTGCCCACAGCTCCTGAGGGTCCCCAGGGAGAGTCTCCGTAAAGACGTGTCCCAAGCTTTCTGAGCGAGCATCCCTGAGGTCAGGGGCGCGCGTGTGCGCTCCGGAGAGGGCGGGAGCGGCCTGGAGTGTGGATGCGCAGGGTGTGCACGCCCTGAGTGCCTAGCGGCCCTTGGCTGGCCAGGCGGCTGGACCTGGTAGGCCGGGTGCAGAGCCCCGGGCACCCTCCTGCCCCCTGCGGCGCTCCCGCCCCCGTCGCCACCCCCTGCCCCCCCGCAAAGTGATGTCGAAATAAAAAGCCGCGTTGCGGCCGGTGGGGGAAGAGAGAGGCAGCGTGAGCACAAGGAAGGTAGGAAGGCCAGCGCCGCCGCAGCGGCTCGGTGCTCAAGTCTGTCCGTTGCCTGCCGCCACCTCCATCCTAGCAGGGCCCCATCGCCCACCAGGCGGAAAAAAGCAGTCCGCTGAACACCATGCGGCCGCTCGGCGTGCCGCCCAGGCTCTGCTGGTGAGCGCCGCCACCCCGCGCCCAGGTCCCGCGAGCCCGCCTGCCGCGCACCTCGCCCTGCTCCCAGCTCTGCTCCGGCCCCGTCCGCCCGGGGGCGCCGCCCACCGCGCCTCGCTCGGTGAGTTCCCTTCACTTCCATCCGCCCGGGCCGGGCCCTTTCCGCCCCCGGCCCGGCCCGGCCCGCCTGGCACCCGAATCTCTTGGTCCGTTTGCCCTGTGGCCCCTACCTTTGGGGCTCGCCTTGGCCCTGCCAGAGACCGGAAACCCTGGTTATAGGGACTTCAACCAGAGGGAGTATTTGGTGACCTGGGCACAACAGGCCCGCCTCGGGCCTCCTGTCTTCCCATTTCTCCGAGCCACAGGCCACGAGACCCCGGCATTCCCAAAGCCTGGCAAAGCACCCCCGCCTCCTGGCCCCCGAACTCTGGGCCTTTGTCTCGGTCGCCCCCAACCCCCAGGCCGCGGCGGCGGATGCGTCCGAGCCGGGCCGCCGAGCGTCGGCTGCACCTGCCGGCTGGTCCCGTGCGCCGGCTTTTCGCGGCTTAACCCGGCTCGCTCCTGTTTGCGCCCCCGCGCGCTGCGCCCCGCAGACCTTTATCCTGTGTGACTGGGGTGCGTGTGGGGGAGAGCGCCGGGTCTGGAAGTCTCCCCCCACCCCAAGCCGGAGTCTGAATCCGTTTAGTGGGATTTCAATAAGAATGGGACCGCCGCGGGCTCGAAGATCTGCCGCTGGTAGGCTTAGACGGCGTTCTGGATCTGTCTCAAAACCGGGCATTTAAAATTATTCGGTGGCAGCCAGGCTTGAACTCCGGGTTGCTCCAACTCCGAGGGGAAAGGCCCCGCGTTCAGGGCCCCCATGTGTGGCGGCCGCTTCTTTATCGGAAAACAAGGAAGGAAATTCGTTGTTTTGGAAAAAGCCTCCTCTCCCGAGGTTGGGAACATCTGGTGGTGAGCTCCAGGTCTACGCAGGCACCCCGTACTGGGATTCGTTTATGAGCAGGCAGGATTCGAGAACCAGGTAGGGCCCGTGCGGCAGCCGAGGCGTCTGGAGAGCGTTTCCCAGGCGGGTTGACAAATTGCAGACAAATTGTGTCTAACGAAACGGATTTACCAGTTGTCAGGCCGCCGGCCCCTGTCGCTCCGAGTAAACCCTCCGAGTAAACCGTGGCTGTTCGTGGAGGAGGGAGAAGCATGGCCCGATTGTCTCCGGGTCTCAGCAGGGTCCCGCGGGAAGCCTGCCAGGCTTGAAGGTAGGGGTCAGAAGCCAGAAGCGATATCGAATCTCGGAGGCGCCTGGGTCCAGGGTGCCGAGACACCTAGGACGTGGGGGCCACAGACTCTACAATTCCCAAAGACGCAGAACAGGAATGGGGTGGGAGAGCCTGCACTGAGGCCGAGGGAGGGAGCCTTCTGCTTTGAGGGTCTGGAATTGAACCCCAAAGAGCAGGAGGGGCCGTTATAGCCGTAGTCCCTCCTTGGGCACCCCCCCCCCTCCAGGGATGGCTGCTGGCCTGAGATCTAATGCCTCGGCTTTAAGGGAACTTCTGAACCCATCTGCTAAGGCATCCCACTTCCTCCCCGTACCCCTCAAGGTTTATTGCCAATGTGGGACTGGGAGGCTGCTGGGTTGCGAATTAAATTTCTCTATGGAAGGTAATCCCATAGCAAATGGGTTTCCTTGACACCCCACCCCCAGCCCCACACTGCGGGCCAATTAGCTGCCCATAAGGAAAAGGCGAGAAGAATTAGGTTACAAAGGGAGGGCAAACTTATGGTCCCAAAGGGGCCACCTCGGATGAGCTAAGTTTAAACAAAGGGCTCAGAGGGGAGGGGAGACCTGGGAAGCTCTGTGTCCCACCTGGGACCAGCAGCTTAGTAGAGGCCTGAGAAGCACTCTAGAACCGGATACCAGATCTGCTACCTCCCCAGCTCCCAGGCAGAAGCACCCAGGTCAAATTGTGGCGATCACCGCTGTGAATTCTCGGGCCACTTGAAAAGGGTCCTTCGAAAATTCTGTTTCCAGACTGACCTTCTCCAGTCCTCGGAGAAATCTTGTTCCCAAGTAAGGAAAGTGACAGCTTCTTAATGTGATCAAAGGCAGCGCCAGCATTTCCAGCTATGCTCCCGAACAAACAAAATACTGAAAACGGGAACGTGTCCCTCTGAAGGTGTTCTGGGGACCCCAAAGTTCCAGCCCATAAACTGGAGTAAATCTGCTCTCACCAGGCCTGTAACAGCGCCGCAAGACTCCAGCCGATTCTGGGGGCTGCGTTGCCCCTCCCCGGGAGTTTTTTTGGGGCCCGAGGTGGGAGGACCATGTCTTCGGCCTAGTGGGGAGGGGCCCGGTTGGTGTCCCTCGGTCTGCCTGACTCACACAGACATTGACGAGCGCGGGTCCCCCTTTACTGTCCATCTGGGCGCCCTGCTACCTGGCGCCGCATTTCTCTTTCCCAGGCGGGTTCGTTTCCGCCAGAGAATGCAGCAGTCCCGCATCCTACGCAGGACCTGCAACCGATGTGGAGGCTTCGGTCAAGCCGTCCCCTGCCTGCGTTGTCGAGGAAGGCAACCCCAAGGCCTGAAGGGACCTGACAGAACTCCTCTTTCCTTTTTTTCCTCTACACCCGGATTGCGGGCAAGGAGGCTGGTTCAGGTCTCCCGAGGCCCCCGCTCAAGCACTCCTTAGCCGTCCTGCTAAGCCCCTCCGTGCGCCGATTTTCTGAGCTGCCGAGCGGGGTAATTAAATCCCCTCCCTCGCTCCGCTCTGTGCCAAGGCAGGCGGCAGTGCAGGGCTGACGTTTGGGCAGGGGACTCAGCCACGCTGGCCACCTCCACTACCGCAGTGGCCGGGACCCTGCCGCGAAGGGGTTAGACGCGGAGCTAGCTGCGCTGAAACTGGGGATACACACAGAACGGGGGAGGGGGTAGTTTTTACCGCGCCGGTGGGAGAAAAAGGAGGATTACCTGCTTTCTCGAGGGCCTCGCGTAGCCACTTCCCTGAGAGCCGAGGCACCGATCGCGGCCGGGCGGGAAGCTTCCGCTCGGCCCTGGCGTTCACAGCCCAGCGGCCAGCTGCCGGTCTGCCTTCCGCGCTGGGTCCCAGGGTTCGCGCTCGAGCAGGGTAGCTTTGCCGGACACGGGGGATTATCCCTGGGGATGCGGTGTCTTTCAGAGGGTCTTGCTAGTCTCCGGAGACGCCAAATAGGCTCGAACTCCGCGGCGATCTCATTTTACGCATTGATGAAGAATCGTAAGCTAAAGGATGGGAAAAGTTGAGAGACAGACGGACGGAGAGACAGTGGGTCCCGGCGGGACCGCACGCGCTGAGGGGAGCACGAACTGGGAGACACGGAGACCGCTCACCTGCCCGGCCTGGCCGCCGAGGTCCGGCGCCAAGGGCCTTGCGCTCGGCCTCCCGCCCCCGGCGCGCCTTCCCGGGCTGGCGCCGGCCTCCGCTCCCGCGGAGTGGAGTTCCGAGCAGACTGGGCTCCGCGCGCTCCAGAGTGGAGGGGAGCGGGAGGCTCAGCAGGCGGCTCGGGCAGGCGGGTTCCCCAAGGGCACGAGACGCGCTGGTTCCCAGCCCAATGGAGCTCTGCGCCCCCCAGCCCCGCGCTTTACCTGCGCTGCGGCCTTGGACAGACAAACGGACGCCAGACGCCTAGGCAGGAGGAGGCCTCAGCCTGAGCCCGCGCCCCCTTGGCGCTGCCCTGAGCTGGCCTGGGAGGGGGTGACGGGGGCGCGCCCGCGGAGCTGGGCCCAGCCGGGCGCCCCCGGAGCTGAGGGGACCGAGGGCTTTCCTCCCTCCTCGGATTATTAAAAAGTTCATTTCCTGGCGAATCGGGTGACGTCAGGGGCTCGGCGTCGCGGTGGCGGGGCCGCCCGGCCGGAGAAGCCGCCTCCAGTTACCCAATTACCGACTGTCAATCCCGCCGCCCCTCCCCCACTCTCCCGGGGGTGGCCGGGACCCTAGCCTTCCTCCTGCCCCCGACCCACCCAGGGGCCCTCTGGACATCTACCCCGGGAGCCTCGGGACCAACAGGGAAGAGGGCTGGAGGACGCTGTTGAGTCCCCTCAGTACTCGGCACCTGTCTAGGTCCCCCCAAATGCCTTTGTCCTGGAACCCCTCCTCGGTCCGGGGCCCCCTTCGAGCCTTCGTCTCCCCAGTCTGTACAATGGGAGGGAGCAAGACTTGTGCGCCCGGCCCACTCGACTCATAGAGCCGATCTCCGGGCTGGAAGTGAGTGGGAAGCAGTTTCAGGTGACTTAGAAGACTGAGACCTCAGACCACCTCTTCCCCCTCACCAGAGGCCACCTCGGGGACCCCCGGAGGAAAAAATGCCACCTCCTGCCCGGGGGCGTCTCCCTCCAGCTGGCGCCGGCGCCAGTCCGGGTCTCCATGGCCTCGCCCCAGGCAATTGGGCCCGTTGGCCTGCGAAGGCCACGCCTGGGGAGGGGATGCCCCCTCCCCCTCTCTGGAGCCACCGGCCCGGCCACCTCCACTGGGTCAAGCACAGCCCTGAGCGGCCGCGTGTCCGAGGCCCAGGTGCCCTCTAGAGCCCTGTAGTTCCTGCCCCTCTCTGCCCCTCCCGGCTCCCGCTGTTCCGCTGCTGTACTCCGAGCCCTCCCAACCCCCAGTCCACTCAGACACCGCCCGAGCTAGGGGAGGGAACGGTCTGGGTAGGTAACTGCGCTCGGACTGACCACGTTCAGCGGTGAAGGAGCGTGGCGGGGTTAGGGTCTCGGGGAGAGGCAATCCAGAGGGTGCGCGGCCCGGGCTCCTGGGGAGGGGGCAGTTGGTTAGTTACTGCTAGTTACGCCCAGAGCGTCGAGGGATCTCGGAGTGTTCGCAAGAGGGGCTGCAGGGATCGGGCCTTGGGGTGAGGGTCCCTTAGTGGTAAGGCGCGTTGGCAGCAGGGGCCTCCAGGAGCGCGCAGGGAGGGTATCCGCCAGCGGAGGGGGGGCCGGCCTGCGGGTCAGTCCAGGAGTCCAGCGGTTCGGGAATTGCGGGCGCAGCCAATGGGAGGCGGAGGCTGGGAGGCGCGCGGCGCTGATTGGCTGGCGTGGGCTTCTTAGGCGTGCGCGGCCCCCGCTTCATGTCTGTGCAGGAGTCGGCAGCTGGCGCCAGGGCGGCCGGAGGATGCCGAGGGGCCGGAGCCGGGAGGGCCCGAGGCCGAGGCGCAAGCTACCCCCTGCTCCTACCCTGTAAGCCCCGCCAGCCTCTGGACGTGCTGTCCCTGGGCCCGTCGCCCCCGGGGCTCCCGCCGGAGCTCCTTCACTCTGAGGCCGAGTCCCTACCCTCCCCACGGCTGCGTGTGTAAGTTTGGGGTTCGAGAGCCGGCTGGGGGCCTGGGGCGCTCCTAGCTTTGAGGGGACTCTAGGGGGACTTAGGGCGGGGTGACCAGGCTGCGGGCTGCTGCTTTGGTGTGCCTTGTTGAGCGGTCCTGATTGTGCCGCTTAGGACTGCACTCAGGGGGCTGCGTGTGCCTGTTTTGGGGACTGAGGTCAGTATCTGGCGCCAAGCGTGGGTGTGTGGGTGTTGCTGGGATCAAGTGCCCCACTGGGTGCCCGGGTGCCTGTCTGCAACTTTTGAGTCTGTGTTCATGTGTTTGTCTACCGGGCGGGGGGGGCTCAGTGTGAGTGTCCGACTGAAGTGCTGCTCTGTGCGTTTGTTGGGGTCACTGGTGTCGGGATCCGTCCCCGGGTGTGACCCCATGTGCACGGGTGTGTGATTCTGCATCCGCGGGTCACCACGTGAGTGTGCGTGGCTGAACCCCCTCCCCCGCCTTCCTTTCGTTTTGAGCCTTGGGCTTTCCTCCCACCCGGGACTGGTGCTCTTTCTCATCGGAGCTGGGCTGGGGCTCCGCGGCGCGCGGGACACCTCGTGGTGGGACTTTGGGGGTGTCAGACGCTGGCGGCACGCCTCACGCCCCCTTCCTCGCGCAGGGCCGTTGCCGCCTCCACCCAGACCCCAAGCCGCCGCCGCCGGCCATGGAGGTGGCGCCGGAGCAGCCGCGCTGGATGGCGCACCCGGCCGTGCTGAATGCGCAGCACCCCGACTCGCACCACCCGGGCCTGGCGCACAACTACATGGAACCCGCGCAGCTGCTGCCTCCAGACGAGGTGGACGTCTTCTTCAATCACCTGGACTCGCAGGGCAACCCCTACTACGCCAACCCGGCTCACGCGCGGGCGCGCGTCTCCTACAGCCCCGCGCACGGTGAGCGCTGGGCCGGTGGTGATGGGAACCCAGGCGCCGCGCGCCAGGCTAGGGAGGGGAGGAGGGCCCGGCTACTTGCTTCCCGGATGTGGGATCCGCAGGAATCGAGCTGCTGAAAAATCGGGGCGGGAGAGGTGGGGGCAGCGGCCGATTGGGGAGGGTCTGGGACCCACAGGGTTTCTGCCCACTTCCAGCTGGCCCGTGAGGGTTCCCTGTAGGGCCCGTCCGGTGGGGTTCCTTCTATGCCACTTGTCCTTCAGCTCGGACTGACATTCCTGATTATTATCGGTGGGGGTTATGTTTCTGGGTTTTTTTGGGAGGCGATGACTGCTGGTTCTGGGAGTCGTGATCTCATGTCTGTCAGGGGCGTCCCTACCTCTGCCTACCCTGATCTTTCTGCCCACCCTGACCCTCTCTCTCTCTGCCCGCAGCCCGCCTGACTGGAGGCCAGATGTGCCGCCCACACTTGTTGCACAGCCCGGGTTTGCCCTGGCTGGACGGGGGCAAAGCAGCCCTCTCTGCCGCTGCGGCCCACCACCACAACCCGTGGACCGTGAGCCCCTTCTCCAAGACGCCACTGCACCCCTCAGCTGCTGGAGGCCCTGGAGGCCCACTCTCTGTGTACCCAGGGGCTGGGGGTGGGAGCGGGGGAGGCAGCGGGAGCTCAGTGGCCTCCCTCACCCCCACAGCAGCCCACTCTGGCTCCCACCTTTTCGGCTTCCCACCCACGCCACCGAAAGAAGTGTCTCCTGACCCCAGTACCACGGGGGCTGCTTCTCCAGGCTCATCTTCCGCGGGGGGTAGCGCAGCCCGAGGAGAGGACAAGGACGGCGTCAAGTACCAGGTGTCACTGACGGAGAGCATGAAGATGGAAAGTGGCAGTCCCCTGCGCCCAGGCCTAGCCACTATGGGCACCCAGCCTGCTACACACCACCCCATCCCCACCTACCCCTCTTATGTGCCGGCGGCGGCCCACGACTACAGCAGCGGACTCTTCCACCCCGGGGGCTTCCTGGGGGGACCGGCCTCCAGCTTCACCCCTAAGCAGCGCAGCAAGGCGCGTTCCTGTTCAGGTAAAGGCAGGTGCTGGGGACTTTCGTGGAAGAGGGGAGCATTTGCGTTTTTGTGGTGGAGGGCTGTGACTTGGGAGAGGGGCAATGTCGGTTTCCCAGATCTGGGAATGGGTGATGTCCTCTCTAATAGTCCCCAATAGATGTTTGAGACCCCTGGGTCGGGGAGAGGAGACTCTAAAACTTTTGCCATTTTCTTAAGTGTTTCCGGTGGACCCCCAAAGTTCAGTTCCTTGACCCAGGGTTGGTCACTGCTTGACCAGAACACAGAATGGGAATTCCCCCTTCCCCTTCCTGAATCCTAAGTGAAAATTCAAGCCTCCTCAGGACTTAGCATGTGAAGCGAGGGAAGTGAGTCTGTATGTGCATGTGTTTGGGAGCATGCGTGCATGTGTGTATGTGTGTCTGTGTGCATGTTGTGTGTGCATGTTTCAGGCATTCCGGAGGTTCCAGACCCTTAAGGAATCTGGGTCTCCAACTCAATCAGTCTGATCTTGGGATTTCGATGGATCCCCCATCTCCTTGGGAGATTTCCCCCAAAGCAAAATCCCCAGGACCTGCTCCTGCTCCCTGCCCTGGTCAGGCCCTTCCCTCTCCCTCCCTGAGGGCTGGAGTGAGGGGATGAAGCTGCAGTGCGCCCGCCCCTTTTCCCGCAGCTGGCCAAACTGGGTTTGTCCAAGAATCTGGCCACAGAGCATAAACCCAGAAACTGGTGGCTGGTGTGGAGTTCCTGCTGTCCATGTCTCTTTACCTGGTCCCTTTGAGCCACAGAGCAGGAAGGTTTTTAAAACAGTTACTCCTGAGTGCAAGAACCACCTTCTTTTGCCAGTCTGTACTGCTCATTTAGTTTAAACTAAATCAAGAACAACTTCCTGGGGAACACGATGCCAGGCAGCGATCCTGCTCAACTTCGTCCCCAACCCCAGCCCCTGCTGGTCCCAGCCCCCGCTGAGCCCCGGCTCAGGATCCTAGTTCTGCTCAGGCCCGTCAGCTTGCGTTTTCTTGGTCCTTTTTCCCAAGTTTGTTTTGCATTTTATTTGAATTCCAGATGGCCTTTTAACTGGAAAAAAAAAAAAATTACAAACAAAAAACCGAGGCCACTTATCTAAAAAAGAAAGAGCTTATTATTTATTTTATTTTAAAGAACAACAACTTCGATCCATTTTTTCCAGGTCTCAGAAAAATTCTAGGGCTTCGGTGGAAGAGGAGAAAAGTTGGGGAGAAAGAGGGAAATGATTCTGGACTTAGAGCAGAAAGACGGGGTGGGGCGGACACAGTTGGGTAGAAAGGAGAGGGACAAAAGAGGAGAGGGAAAGAGGCGCGCCGGAGCGGGAAGGAGAGAGCCTCCTGGGCCCAGCCAGGTTGAGCTGGGTGACTCTTGCCACCGCCCTACCCTCGGCAAAGTTTGCAGTAAATAGCTCCTGGTTGCTCCAGAACGCCTGGGGCCCTGGGCCCCTCCTCCCCTCCTCCTTCGTTTCCATCCCTCCTCGGGAGGATTGGAAGCAGGGGATTTGGCCTTAAAGGACTCTGGACCTGGGCCCCATCCCATGTAGGAAACCCTCTGGGTCCCTCTTCCTGCCCAGGCTGTCGCAGCCAGGCCCAGGCCAACCGCGTGCCTGAGAGGCACCGGCACTGCTTGGCCGGTGCTCGCGTGCCCTGGGTTCCCTCCAGAGACCTTGCCGGTTAAGCAGGCCCTGTGTCTCTCCCTGTCCCCCTGCAGAAGGCCGGGAGTGCGTCAACTGCGGGGCCACAGCCACCCCTCTCTGGCGGCGGGACGGCACCGGCCACTACCTGTGCAATGCCTGTGGCCTCTACCACAAAATGAACGGGCAGAACCGGCCACTCATCAAGCCCAAGCGAAGACTGGTAGGAGTGGGCACAGGTGGCTGGGAGGGGGCTTCTGGGCAGGAGCTGGCGGTTAATTAAGGAGAAAAAACTCCTTCAAATGCAGACACTTTGCCGCTTGAGATCCTCTTTTATCATGAAAAGCACTGGGATGTCAGTTGGGTCATCCCTCTTTCTGGCCAGATTCTTTTGGGCCAGATTTCCTCCTCGGGTATACGGAGCCCACCGGGTACCCTCGCGCCACGCCACTGTGCTCCGGGATCCCCAAAGTTGAGTGTCCATGGACTGGACTCCTGTCCTCTGGCCTCTGCTTAGCTCTTTTTTAAAAATAGGGCCATGAAGTATTTTTCCTTGTGGCTCAGCCCTCCCCGACAGCCCAACTCACAAGCTCCTCGTGCTTATTTAAATAAAACACAAACTCACACCGGCCACTAAAAAAACCTGCCCTTTATTATTTTTCCATGGAGTCACCTATACTGTGTATTTTCATTTGAGTGATTTTAAAAAAATGCCCTTTCGGATCTCCTGCCGGAGTTTCCTATCCGGACATCTGCAGCCTGAAGATAAGGAAACTTCGTGTATCTGTTTCCGGACTCTGCGAGTTTTTAGAGTCTCCTCAGCTCAGTCCTGCCTCTTGCTGGGCTGTTTTGAAATTTCTAATACCCTCCACTCTGCAAATAATGCGTAAAATGCTAAGAATAATAAATATATTTTTTCAGGGCGAAGTGATTTATGAGGCTTAAATCGTTCCCTGCTTTGGGGGCCTTTTTTTTCCCCTGGAGCGAGGGCGGGGTGAGGCCCGGGTGGGGGTAGAGGTGGAGGACGCGGCGTTGGCCCCTGAGTCAGAATTCCAGCTTCAGGCTGCTTACTCACCCCTCCCTGCCCCCGCGGCTGCAGTCCCTCTGTCCCTTCTGTGACCAGGCTCGGGCCTGGGGCCTTTCCAGGCTCTGCAGGCCTCAGCCTCCAGCTCCCAACACTTGCCACCTGGTGCACTCCTGCCTGTGGTTCTCTGGGAAGTGTTGGGGGACCCCTTCTGTCACTGTGGGGTTGGCATTGGTGGAACCGGGAGAGGGGATCTGCTTTCTTGGGTAAAGCCTCCCTCTGACTTCTCTCTCCAGGGACCAGGCGCTCATTTCCAGACCCTGCCTCTGCCAGGCGTTTCCTGAGGGACTAGGACTCAGAGAGGCTGGGGGTGTTAAAGCTCTAAGGGTTGGGGTATGGGTGGCTGCATAGATGGGGATCAGCATTCGGGTCAGCTGAAGAGATGGAAAAGTTCTGTGTCTGCACTGCCCACTGTGGTGGCCCCTGGTCACATGTGAATATTGATCACTTGAAATGGGGTTAGTGCAATTGAGGGAACTGGATTTTTAATTCTGTTAATTTGTAGTTAGATCTTATTTAAATGGCTCCCTGTGGCCAGCTGCTACGGTGTGAGACGGTGCAGCTCTGCACTCTGTAAACCTGTGCTGGCCTCAGCTACACTGGCTCACCCAGGATTATGGATTTTGAGCAGAGTTGTGCTAGAGGAGACACAGAATCAGCCCCAGATCCAGGGGCTCGAGGGGGACCAAGCCAGCTCGGCCTCAGGATGCCTGTGCTACTAGAGAGGCCCTTCTCAGGGCCTCAGTTTCCCCATTTATGGAGTTAGAGTGCAGGGTAGTTGGGGGAGGTAGCTAATGCTGCCCTCTAGCTCTTGCAATCCCATTGATTCTAACATCAGGCTTCTGAGAGTTCTTTATTCCAAAGTTCTGTGAGTCTTGACTTATTTCATTCTCAAATTCTGAAATTCCATGGTTCTGAGATGCTTTGATTCCCCTGTGAGATTTAGCCCTCCTTGACTGAGTGCGGGCGGACTGGGGCTGGAGCGAGGGTCAGGGAGGGAGGTCGAGGTGGGCGTGGGAGCCCAGCCTGCTGACGCTGCCTTGCCCTCCCAGTCGGCCGCCAGAAGAGCCGGCACCTGTTGTGCAAATTGTCAGACGACAACCACCACCTTATGGCGCCGAAACGCCAACGGGGACCCTGTCTGCAACGCCTGTGGCCTCTACTACAAGCTGCACAATGTGAGTGTGCCCCGCCCCGGCCGCCCCACCCCTCCCCGGGGACCTCTGCGCTTTGTGCTGCCAGGCAAGAGGCCCCAGCCACAATATCCAGCTTGGCTTGGCTTGGGAAGCCGCTGCCCTGAGCGAGCGCCAGAAGGGCTTCCCGTAAGAGGGGGCGCCTTGCCTCTGTTCAGGAGATAGAGCTGGCTAGGACAGGGTCTCGGGGGGTAAGGAAGTGGTTTTTCTACTTAAAAAAGGTCAGGGTGGAGGGGAGGACTTCAGTTGGCTGGGCAGTGCTGGTATGCGGTGGGCAGAGCCAGGGAGGGTGTGGATCAACCCCATACACCAGAACCTGCCCTTCCTGGAATTGTAGCCATCTGGTGATGGGACTGTGAAGGTCGGGCACAATTCCTGGCTTCCTGGGACCCTCAGCTTGACCTGCCTCTGGTCCACGCTGTGGCAGGGGTGGGACATGTTGCTGGAGGAAAGAATTGGCCCTCTGAAAGCTGGCGGTTGCCTCTAGGTTAACAGGCCACTGACCATGAAGAAGGAAGGGATCCAGACTCGGAACCGGAAGATGTCCAACAAGTCCAAGAAGAGCAAGAAAGGGGCGGAGTGCTTTGAGGAGCTGTCAAAGTGCATGCAGGAGAAGTCATCCCCCTTCAGTGCAGCTGCCCTGGCTGGACACATGGCACCTGTGGGCCACCTCCCGCCCTTCAGCCACTCCGGACACATCCTGCCCACTCCGACGCCCATACACCCCTCCTCGAGCCTCTCCTTCGGCCACCCCCACCCATCCAGCATGGTGACCGCTATGGGCTAGAGAACAGATGGACGTCGAGGACTGGGCACTCCCAGGATGAGTGGACCAAACCCTTAGCTGCCCAGCATTTCCCGAAGACCGACACCACTCCTGCCAGCCTGGCTCGGTCCAGCACCCCTTCTCCTGGAGGGTGCCCAGCAGCCTGCCAGCAGTTACTGTGAATGTTCCCCACCGCTGAGAGACTGCCTCTGCACCCGGCCGCTGCCCAGGTGGGGTTTCCTGCATGGACAGTTGTTTGGAGAACAACAAGGACAACTTTATGGAGAGAAAAGGAGGGGACGGGACAGACGAAGGCAACCATTTTTAGAAGGAAAAAGGATTAGGCAAAAATAATTTATTTTGCTCTTGTTTCTAACAAGGACTTGGAGACTTGGTGGTCTGAGCTGTCCCAAGTCCTCCGGTTCTTCCTCGGGACTTGGCGGGTCCACTTGCCGGGGCTCTGGGGGGCAGATTTGTGGGGACCTCAGCCTGTACCCCCTTCTCCTCTGGCTTCCCTCTCAGAAACAGCCGAACTCCAGGCTGGGCTGAGCCAAAGCCAGAAGGGCCACGGGCCCGGGAGGGTGAGCTGGTGCCTGCTTTGACGGGCCAGGCCCTGGAGGGCAGAGACAATCACGGGCGGTCCTGCACAGATTCCCAGGCCAGGGCTGGGTCACAGGAAGGAAACAACATTTTCTTGAAAGGGGAAACGTCTCCCAGATCGCTCCCTTGGCTTTGAGGCCGAAGCTGGTGTAACTGTGTCCCCTTAGCGCAAGCCACAGCCCGTCTTGTTTGTCAGGTGGACCCTGTAAATACATCCTTTTTCTGCTAACCCTTCAACCCCCTCCCCTCCTACTCTGAGACAAAAGAAAAAATATTAAAAAAAAATGCATAAGCTTAACTCGCTGATGAGTTAATTGTTTTATTTTTAAACTCTTTTTGGGTCCAGTCGATTGTACATAGCCACAGAAGCCCTGCTATGAAAGGAGTAAACCCTACACACAAGGTTGGAGATTTGCAATTGTTTTTGGAAAAGAGCTGGGATTCCACAGCCCTAGTATGAAAGCTGGGAATGGGGAGGGGCCTTTACTGCCCTTGGTTTCCGGGGGCTGGTTGGCATTTGCTGGCCTGGCAGGGGGTGAAGGCAGGAGTCGGGGGTAGGTCAGGACCAGGACCCAGGGAGAGGCTGTGTCCCTGCTGGGGTCCCAGGTCCAGCTTTGCTGTGGCTGTCTGGATCCTTCCCAAGGTACAGCTGTATATAAATGTGTCCCGAGCTTAGATTCTGTATGCGGTGATGGCGGGGTGTGATGGCCTGCGAGGGGCCCCTGGCCCAGGAGGAGGATTGTGCTGATGTAGTGACCAAGTGCAATATGGATGGGCAGTCGCTGCGGGGAGCACCAAGGCCAGAAGTAACTTATTCTGTACTAGTGTCCGCATAAGAAAAAGAATCGGCAGTATTTTCTGTTTTTATTTTTTATTTGGCTTGTTTTATTTTGGATTAGTGAACTAAGTTATTGTTAATTATGTACAACATTTATATATTGTCTGTAAAAAATGTATGCTATCCTCTTATTCCTTTAAAGCGAGTACTGTTAAGAATAATAAAATACTTTTTGTGAATGCCCCTGGCCTGTCTTGTGGGCTCCCAGGGTGCCGAGTCCCGGGTGTGAATTTGGGCAGCCAGATTGCATTGCTCTTGTCGGCGGGGTGGCTGCAACGGGAAGGCCCCTGGAATCCAGGATGGGGCCCTGTTGGGCCTGGGTCTGATTTTGCCACTGACGTCCTGATGCTCCTTCCCTGAATTGCTCCCATCTGGATTTCCTGTCACTGCACCAGGGGTCCTAGTGAATGGGAGGATACTGGGGAGGCGCAGGGAGGCTGTGGTTTCTCCAGCCTGTGGTCCACCCCTGAGGGCTCAACGAGACTCCTACAAACCCCATCTCCATTTGCTTCCTTCCAGGTGCTGAGCTTCCTCTCAGCTCTGGTTTCTGAGATATTTGGTCATCAATATTCCTGTTCATTGACTGACTTGACCAGCAGTGTCTGTGATCACTGATGTCATTGATTGCTGTCATCTTTGATCAGTGATGTTGGTCATCAATGATAGGCACCAGGACTGATATTCCAGATCAATGACATGTCTGATCATGAGAGCCTGCCATCAGAGACACCTGATGACTAACAACTGATCACCAATATTTCATCAATGCCTCTGCTCAACCATGAGTTTGATCACTGACACCCATAAAATGTGATCACGAATGTCTCCAGTGACTGTCTTTGTTCACCAGTAGTATGCCTGATCATAGTATCTCTTCTCACCAATGTGTTGATCGTCAATGTGCTTTGTCACTAATGTTCTAGGCCATCAATAAGTATGACCACCAATGTAATTGATCAGTGTTTTTTTCTAGTGATAGATCAGTCACTCACATGTGATCTCCAGTATCTCTGATCACACTGTTTCTTATCACCAGTGTTTTTTTAACAATGTCCTTGGTCAGTTGTTTCTGATCACCATTATTTCTAACCAGCGATGTGCCTGACAACCAATGTCCCTGATCATAGGATCCTCTCCCCATCAAATTTCCTATCAATGTAGTCACTAGTGTTTCTGGTTCCCAATACCCCTGAATGCTCAACACTGATCATCAAGATCTCTTATCACCAATGTCTCTGATGCCCAACATCAGTGATTGCTGAATCTTCTTCAAAGTCTCTGCTGACCAATGCCCCCATTTTCCAAAGTCCCTTATACCTCTGATCACTGACCTCCCTGATCATCAATATCCCTGGTCATCAGAATACCCAGTCACCAATGTCTCTGATCACCAAATTCTCTAATCATTGATGCCTCTGCTCACCAGTGCCCTTGATCCCTAATGGTCTGCATTTGGTTCTCTTCACCAAGATCTCTGGACCCCATGTCTCCAGTCATTAAATCTGGTCACTAATATCTCGTGTATCTTTGGCCACCAACGACATGGACACCCAATGCTTTCCCCGCTAATGCTCCCAGTTACTCACAGCCGAAGCCACCCATGGCCCTGATCAATGATTGATGACATATTTGATCAATGATAATTCTGGTTACCAAGACCCCTGAACACTGGCTCCTGATGGCCAGTGTGTTACACACCCCTCCCTGACCAGGTTGTGTTTGACAGACATCTTCTCTGGCTGACTCCACCATCCCTAATGACAAGTCACTCTGATTGTACATCCCTGGTCAGCCATGGCTTCTCTTCACCTTAGTTGTCATCATCTTTGACCAACAGGATCTTTATTCACCAGGGGCCCTGAGGACAGGTATTTCTGATTGCCACCATCCTTGTTTCTTGACAGCCCTGCTGTGCACCTGGTCCAGGAGATTTTCCTTTAATTTTTTCCAATACCAGGCTGCTGACACCTTCCTCGCTTAGAACTGGGTGGGCCAAAGCACCGGAACGGTCAGCACCTTGTCCCAGCTGCTGCAGTCCATCAGGATAGACTCTGACCTCCAGACTCGGCCCTGGTGTGCCACCAGTACCCCCTCCTGTCTTTCCCTGTGAAGTTGGCACTGAGTACAGACAGGAGCCAGCCCGGGGTTTGGCAGGGTAGGCACGTGCTTCCTTCCTACCTGATGCAGAGTGGCCCTGGGCCCCCCTGGCCTCCACCCCCTACAACTCCAGGGCAGGAGGCCTCCTCTCTTCTTGCCAGCTGTTGCCACAGTGAGGGCAGGGTTGGTTCTCTCTCCTATGCCCCTAGATCGTGACAGCAGGATTGTGTGTTTCTGCGATGGGGTGCACATCCTGTTGAACATCTCCTGTATGCCACGCACGGTTGTAGGCATGGGGCTACAGCAGGGAATAAAACAAACAAGAATCTGTCCTCAAGGAGCTTACATTCCAGGCATGAAGCATAAATAATAACTCTACTTGGCCTCTGGCAAACCATCCTACTTGCTTGGCCCAGAGTCCATCCAGAACCCAGAGCCAGCCCTGGACTCCAGAGTTTAGAGTTGAGAACCTGCAGCCTAGATCCTCAAACCAGGAACGATAGCTCTAGGCCCCAGAACTCAGGAACCAGAGCCCAGAACATACAGCCCAGAGCTTGGACCCTTCAACCCAGAATCGGCAGCTTGGGGCTGAGAGCTCAGAACTTACAAAGACCTCTAAGACCGGGACCCAGAGCCCAGACCTCAGAATTGAGTTCTCAGAACACAAAGCCCAGAACCTGGGGCCCCGAATGTGGAAACCCAAATCTACAACCTAGAGCTTGGAGTTCAGAACCCATAACTTGGCATTAAGGACATGCAGCCTTGGGCCTAGAATCTAGGTCCCAAAACCTAGAACCCCATATCCGAACCTAGAACTTGGCTCAGGACTCAAAGGCCAGAATCCAGACCATAATCCAGAACAGCCATCAAAAGAGGCCTCCTTGTTTCTCTGTTGCGCCCCCGGCTTATTTCCTTCCTTCTGTCAACCAGCATTTTGGAGCACACAGTGCCAGGCGCTCTCATGAGTGCTGGGAGGGGCCAGCCGGCAGAAACAAGTGGAGAGGATCCCCTCGTCCCGTGATGTCAGCTGCAAGAGAGCAGGGGCTGTGTCTGGTCACTCTTGTGTCCCCGATGCCCCCAGTGGCTGGTGTTAGGCTCTCCCCAGTCATCTGTAGACTAGATCCATTCACTTTCCCGTAAATGTTCATCAGCCTTGTTTGTTCTTGGTGTTGGATGGGGGGAATAACACACACAGAGACTCTTGCTACTATGACGAGCTCTCTCTACTCACTACCAGGAAACTCTCGGAAAGCACGAGCTGTTTCTTTTTTCTTTCTTCCTTTTTGGAGACAGGGTCTCACTCTGTCACCCAGGCTGGAGCGCAGAGGTGCTATCGTAGCTCACTGCAGCCTCAAATTTCTGGGCTCAAGCCATCCTCCCACACAGCTAAGACTATAGGTATGTACCACCAGGCCCAGTTAATTTAAAAAAGAATTTTTTTTTTTGGTAGAGACAGGATCTTGCTACATTGCCCCAGCTAGTCTCGAACTCCTGGGCTCAAGTGAACCGCCTGCCTTGGCCTCCTAAAGTGCTGGGATTACAGGCGTGAGCCACCGCATCTGAATTGCAGGGGCTGTTTCTCATAAGGAGGCAGCAGCCAGAGCTGGGGGAGGCTGGGGGGTGGTGTTGAGTAGAGATGGGGGTGAGAGCCTCAGATTCAAGTCCCAGCAAGTCACTTTAGAGCAAAGAACCGAGGCTCAGGGGCTACAGTTTACAGCTTCTCTTCCCTCCTTCATAAAACAATTCACTTCTAACAGTGACTCCTGCCTCCTTGAGTCACTGTGTATGGTAAACAGTTTGAATTTTGTGGCCACAAAGTGCCCAGGTATGGCCAGACACGCAGGCCAGGAGCTGCAAGTGACTGTCTTGAGTGGGTCAGGGTGGCCTTGATGATTCCCCAGGGCCTGGTGCCAGGGTGGCCGGGTGGGTCGGCCTTCTTCCCTCTGTTTGCACCCCGGTGGGGCTGGTGGGCCATGGACTTAGCTCGACTTGCCCGGCCCCTTCCTCCCTGCCTTGCACAGGGACACTTCCAGGCCTGGCTTTGATGCCCATTTGTAGGAAGAAACCAAGTGCCCTTTGTAACTCTTAGGGAGCAGTGCTGTTCTTCCCACAGCACCTCCTGCCCCCCTGGTGACCCAGTGCTAGGATGGGGAAGGGCCCTCAGGGCCACAGAAATGGACACTGCCCTTGGGGAATGCCTGCCATCCGTTTGACACAGGGACAGAATCACCTGAGCAGCGGGAAAGATGAGGGGCAGCAGGGGAGGAGGTGGGTAGATCCTAAATGAGTTATCATACAGGACGGTTCGATCAAAACTCTGCTGGGTTTTTTTAAAGGCAAAATGGCAAATGATTCCAAACTTTATCTGGAAAAACTAACAAGATCAGCAGAAGAAGTCAAAAATTAGGAAAAATAAACTGAGGGTGTGTGTGTAGGGGTGTGTGTGTGTGTGTGTGTGTGTGGGAAATGCTTTCTGATATTAAACAAGATTCTATTATCACGATCGTTCAAACCTTGTGGTTCCGCTATAAGAATAAACAGATCAATGGCACAGATTCAGTAAACCTGCAACAGACCCTATTGTTTACAAGATAATGGGTGATAAAGGAGGCATCCTGAATCAATGCAAAAGTGGAGGGTTACCCAATCCAGTGGTGTCGGAACAACTAGCTGGTTAGCATCTCACTTGGTGAGTACTGACTGTTCTGTCCAGACAGCAGGCAAGTGTGTTTGGGCAGCGTGAGGCTTTACAAAGTTTGAATGAGTTGCAGATGATTTCAAATTAGGAGATTCACATAACACACTGTGGAAGGAAACATGCAGAAGGATACACAAGAGGTCATCCCCAATAGCAATGTGAATCCACAGCCACCAGACATCCTGACAGGTGCTGAGTCTCACAAATGATCAGATCCATGCCCATTCCACATGGGGCACCACTTCCCTCTCTCAGCAGAAATGGAAGAGACTGGGCAGGTGTAGAGAAGCAGCCTGGAGATACCTATATGGGCAGAAATGATCTAGGTTTTGCACGCTCTCTGGCCCAGCAAGCCTCTTCCCGTACATCTCACAGAAACACTAGGATAC